ATTCTAGTTTGGATGTTGATCATTTAAATTCTTGATTCAAAGCTTTTGCCATTTTCTTTTTCTTTTCAATCCAAAATGCCCCATGGTTCAAATCCATTCCTTCAAATAGGCTCTTAGTCATGTCATCAGGACTTTTGGTTGTCCTTAGGGCAAATAACCACTACAATGAATTCTACTAAACCAAACTGCATGCTGGGAAGTACAAAAGAGAAACTTTATAAGGAGTCTGTTAAAACCAATATGGGATCTAACACCCCATGTTGGGACAAGATTTTTTTGTCCCTAGAATAACTAAAGAAGTCTCATTTTTAACAGTGCTTGAGAAGTACAGGAGACAAGAATTTAGTCACACTTCACTTGGATTCCTCAGGAATGTCTTTGTTTAGTTTTAATACAACTGATTTCAGTTGTGATGAGGCAGAACACATACCTGAATGGAACAAAAGCAGTCTCAAGAGAAACCTGAAACGGGATTTACATTTTATGGGGTTTGACCTTATGGCTCCTAGGAGGAATGAATCATGCTTCTGTGAGAAATGACCTAACCTGATCTGTTGTTTGGCTGGAACTGCAGAACTGGAAAGGAATGCAGTGGATGCAGAACATAGGCTTTGCAAGTATAGTCTGTTTGTTTGGGTTTTTTTAAATTATACACACACGTGCACACACACACATATACATACATATATATGTATAAGCCCTATGTATAGTTTTCTTTGAGCTTTGTTCTTGAACAATTTATTTCCATTTATCAGCACCCCAGTGCTGTTGCTTGGTGAGAGCTACTAGACTGACCTGCCATTTCCAAAGGCCAGGATATAAGTAAAGAGCAACATACAAGAGTTGAAGAAATGCACATAAAGCTGCTGTGTAAATTTGCATCAACTGTGCTGAGACATTTAAGTTCTGTAAATTGTATGTTGGCAAGATAAAGACCAGGAATGTGAACAATTATATTAGGTTTAAAAAGGAGTTTCTACTAGAAGGACAATTGAGTGAACAGATGTTCTCACTCTCAAAATGATTAGTTTTAATAGAGATGTATGATAAACTGTAGTTATCTAGTGACTTAGTCTATGTAAGGCATAACACATACATAAAATGCAGCTATAATAAGGGACAACACTGCAGGAATGGAGGGGTAGATTAAGTGACTTAAATTATGTATATTCATCTTACCTTGAGAGGAGATATGAACTAGATGACTTTTTGAAGTCCAAACTATTTCTATGTAAGTCTATGAATTTCCATTATTTTCAGTTCTTTTTATGCGAAAGGATGGAAAACTGCTTTAACTGCAAACTTCTCTTTTTGACTGTGCACATTATGTTACTTTTGTTGAGGAAACCTAATAATTACCCTGAAGATCAAATCTATTGTCTGTCATTGCTGGTACTTCTTGAATTTCTGAGCATAAATAATGCTAATGAGTTTACATGGGATATTATCTGCTAATAAATTCAGTAGTAGAGTGAGTATCACAACTGCATATACTGAAAATAACATAAGTTGAAAAAAATAAGATAGACACAGTGGTACTCTTATCCAGTTTGGTGCGATCCAAATGCAACGGTCCTGTTATGGCACATCTTTCTCGTCATACCTTATTAAATATGGAAGATGGCTACTCAGAACTCTTAGATTATCTGTGTGATCCCCTCTGTTTCTTGAGTGGATCCCATGTGAAGCCACTTGGGATTTTCCTGCATTCTGTTTTTCTCTTTTTTTTCAAATAGAGAGGCTAGTTGACCAGAAAGTTATACAGTGGTGTAGTGCATGTAATAAGAAGGGAAATTTTCTTAAGCAAATTTGATGTTTTAAATGACAGTGTAAAATGTATTGTTACTAGATTTGACATTGTCTTTCCAAGCAGTGTGTGCTTAGGTATGAATGGGACAGTGCTGCCCCATTCATATCTAAAAGGAAGTATGTTCTCTGCACCAAAAAAAGTGTGAAGGGCTTTACAGCTGAGACAGTGAATTTAGTATAGAGGATTCAGTTTTGCATGTTACAAATAAAATTACCGGTAGTTTTGCTAGTTGGGATAAAAATTCATAAGGCAGGTTAGTATGTATGCTCCAAGGGCATAAGCCAAACAGTGACTGCCTGAAATGGGCCTGAAATTGGCCCACAGTGGTGGATAGCTCTGCCTAACTGTCCAGTGAAGGCCTTTTATCCTTTCTTTGGAATCAAGACCTGTTTACTCGCTGAGTTGTGATAGAAGTATGTGTTGACCATTGATCTCATCTACTCTGGCAACTTCAGTGTGGGAGTCATATCTGGTAAAACAATGACAGTGTGTTTTCAGAATATGTCAGCTTATATGTTTTGACTGTGGGGGCTGAGAAGTACCTTGAGTGATTAATACAAGGTTGGACTCAGAAGTGTAAAAATAGCCAGGGCTGGTAATAGCCCTAGCAAGCAAAAGTTTTTGGGTATGGAGTGGCACGGCATGAACCAAAAATACACAGCTGGGGAGAGGGAGATCCAGAAGTCTTAGCTCCTCTGTCTCATGTTTTCCTCTCTTGTTCTCATATTGGTATGGGGTCTAGCAGTAAATCTGACCCTGATTAAGGGGTATTTGTCTAATCACATGCTCCTGGGTATACAAAAGAGACAAAACTGGGGAACTTGGATCTGCTTCCTAATCTTATCCTAGCCTGTAGGGAAGAGTAATCAGCTTTAGGTCAAAATCAGCGGCAGGGTACTTTTCCTTCCATGCTGGCTCAGTTCTAGTGGCTGATAACCAAAAGTGCAAAGAGGAGGGATCATATGTATGCTCCCTTATCTTGTTTTTTTTTTTTCTCATGGTCTGTGTTGCTTTGCAACTGCTCCCTTTTGGGTGCAGGGCCTGTCATAGGGGAAGGCATTTGAAGTCCTCAGCCCCCATCTGTTTCTTCCTGCTTGGCAGAAGGGACAGTCCTACTCTAAAGCAGGGATTCTTGTCCAGAGATAATTTTAGTTCCCACACTTTTAAGAACTGTTTATTAAACTCTGTACAGCCTTTTCTGGTCTCTGTAGATTTGCATCTGTATAAAATAGCGTAAAGTAATATCAGATAAGGACAATAGAGGCTGTATTCTTGGGACTCATGAATGGAAGGGACTCTAAAACAAATGGTATCATGGCAAAGAATAAAACAAAATAAATATGTACCTGCTCTACTGTTATTTTTTTTGTTGTTATTTATGAGTTTGGGGTTTGCTGTGTGTTGCGAGATTTTTTTTTTTTTTTTTTTTACCGCTGTGAGAGACAAGGTACTGGGCTGGCTGGATTTTTGGTCTGACATGATACTGACCATCCTCAGTAATGTCCTTAATGTTCAAAAAATACTTAAAAAAAAATAGCATTTGTTTCAGCAATAATATTTAATGGCTGTGGTAATCAACACTAGACAATTACTTTGTTTTTTTTTTTTGGTTGACAGATATCTAAAATCTCAGAGGCAATTTCACTTTATGTTTGTGACTGTGGGAGATGTTCCCCCTTTTCAGGGGTAAAAGGGAATATATGGGACCAGATTTCTCTTGTGCTGTTTTGACTAGGAAGAAAATTTTACTTGTAAATCTAAGGTAAAGCTTTGACCACTGAAAAGAAATTATGGTTGTTTGCTGCTGTCCAGGATTAAATTTGTGGGTTTATTTGCATAAGTGAGGTTAAATACATGCACTACTGCCAAGGTCTGAATTTGTTCCACTTACATGTATGTATTTATGTATATTATGATCTCTTAAATTGGATGTGTAGGGTGTGTATATCTATATGGTGTAAGTGCATATATACATTTCTACAATCACATATACACATCCTACATATGCATGTATGTGTAAAGTGATAATTTATCATTGCCAAGTATGTACAATGCTTAAAAACAAATCCATCAATACAGGTGTTTGACTCTTTTATCAGTCCTGCCACAGAACCTCTTTCCTGGATGGGAGAAATAATGAGGGAGAAAAAGGTGCTATTCATAGAAAATGGATCGCCAAAACAAAGTTTCATAAAATGAGGTTTTCCTCACTTTTCATTAAACTTCTGCCATTTTAAAATATACATATTTTTTTCCCCAGAAAAAGGTGTGTTTTTCTAAAAGTCCTTTCCAAGCTTCTTAAATGCTACTCTTTCTTATTCCACTCTTCAAAGAGCAGCAGCCACGCTATCCCTCTTTTCGACTTCAAACTGTGCTGCTCTGTCAGTCCAGCACAGCGAGAGTACTTTGAACCTGAGAAGAGAATCTAGTTCCTTTTTTTGGAACCTTGAGAAGGACTTTTTGAGAGCACTGCAATTAGCATTTCCTTTTCACCCAATGCACCTTTCTTGACTTTTGTAAAAGTAAACTAAATAATAATAAACATATATTTACACATGTGGTTCCCTTGGGTCCAGCAGAGATACTCTTTGTTCATACTTTACAGGGATTTTTGGGTCCTATTATTTGGACCTTTAGCCAGATGTTGTGGTATCTATGAAACTTTTCACAGGCTGCTGGCTTTATGTGGGGCAAGTGTGAATTGACTTTGGTTTCCTCTCAGGGGTAACTTTATTCTACACAGAGTAAAAAGATTTGGTAAATGTCAAAGGAAGGAGCCACAAGCCGTATTAATCTTACCCACTATACAACCAGACCCTTGGTGGCTTTTATTCTTGGTGGCCCACCTTGGTTGCAGCAATGTGAACTCTGAATACCAACAAGGTACCAGGCAATTTAAGCAAAGTTAAGCTCCACAGTTGCTTCCTGCTCTGTACTTGCACTTTGCCCCAGGTGATTTGACAGCAAGGGATCAATGGCTGTAGTCTGGATAAGGTCCTAAATGAGGCCTTAAGGGGTGTAAGTGCTGGAGTGGAAAGCAGAGGAAATGTGCTGCTGCTTTTCCTCTGACTATAAATAGCCAGGTCATCAGTACAAACTTTGTGGATGTCTGGCACCAGCATTTTGAACTGATTTGTGGAACACCACTGAGCATTCTGAAAAGCACTCTTTTTTTCCTTTTTTGTTCTAGAAGTTTGCCTATGCCAGCTTCATGTGAAATGTGGGGCACGCTGCAGGTAATGTCAAAGACACCATATTATTTTAATTTATCTGAAATACTTGGTGGTCCAGGTCTCAGCCCACAGAGAAATCCTTGCACTATCTCACCAGAAGGAGAACCCTGCAGGCTGCAGTGAATGGCTGGGGATTTTTTTTGGGGGGAACCACTGCTGAGGTCACATGTGTGTCCTGTAGGAGACTTAGACCCCAAACCACTGGTACAGCAGAGGAAATGAGCTACTGCTTTTGGCATGAGGACGTTGAAATCAGCCAGACTAAACGGGACCAGGGTGTGCCATGTTATTGCAGTGTCTCTGTGACTTCTAAAAACACCTGTGGGAAAAAAAGGTACTTAAAAATGACCTCACCAAGGGAATGTCTATAAATATAAAAACCTTAAGAAACAGAGAATTCTAAAGTAAGCAACATCTGCATTTTCCTTGAAACTGTATCTTTTTATCTGTGCCTCTCCTAGCAAGTAAATATTTCCTGGTCTATAAACACCTCCACGTTTACAACACACTTCTTAGGCAGTAACTTGCCCAAATATCCTGTGGTAAGACAAAACCGTTCAAGTGTAAAGGATTTGTTAATGGAAATTGGTTCAATCAAGCTTCCCTTTCCACCATTGTCTCCCTCCCCACCAGCACGTGCACAGACTAAGCACTGCTTCTCTACAGTAATATGAATTTTGAGTTGTTGATAAATACAAGCAGGTTAACAACTAACATCAAAGGTTTACCAGATTAAAGTCAAAGGAAGATGTGATTTTCAAGGCCTTGAATAAACAAAAAGGGTGAGATTCTTAATTATCTTTCTAATACAAGACTTGGTAGGCTTAAATGAACAGAGGAGCAAACATCATTCTGTGCACTAACCGCCACACTACTGGGTTTCTTACTGTAAGTCAGTTAAAGGCTACATAAGGAATGAAAGATAAGGCAAATAGGTATGTCTGTAAAGTGAGAGATCACTAAAAAAAGGTGACTGTTGTGTTTGATGTAGTAAGAGGTGGAGGAAAAACTAACTATAGCTTAATGGGCATAGCAGATTCTGAGACATATATGGCAATTATTAGTCATACTATTTGAATCTGAAAGGGCATCAGTTCAAAGGAGTGCTCAGAAAGGCTCAGGCTGGAAAAAGCAAGCTATTAAATCAGCTCTACTCCTCCGAGTGCATGTGAGGTTTTTTTCCCCCTTTTCCTGAAAGTCTTAGGGTACTTTTTGAGAAGAGTATGATGAAATTTCACAAGTGTTGCAAGAAGGATAAGATTTGTATGTATTACTATTGTAGAGATTTTTAGTTCTCTCTAAAAAAGCCAAATTTACCTGTTGTTAATATAGTCATATTGACAATAGGACGCATGTACCACCTGCTTCTATGAGATTAAGATAGTTTAAACAGAACCACACAAAATGTGTCGGATATTTATGAAGTGCATAATTTCTAATCTTCTCTCCACCGTTTTACTGTCTCTAAGTAATACAAAGAGGAACCATATAAATTTAGAAATGAAGTAAAAAAAAACCCAAACACTGAATTTAACCCATCATCACATATTGCTCATACTTGAGTTGAAAACACAAAAGGTGAAAATTGTAATTACATTTGTAAATATTCATGAGATGTATAAGGCATAGATACCTTTAAAAAACCAAAAAAACTATCCTGCTTCAGTTTGAGTTCAGAATTTTTCATCTAGTTTCTGTGACTGAGAGGGTAACTAGGAATTATTTTTATAATGAATCCTTCATACTTCTTTTGTTAAGAATACCCAAGGACATCTTTTATTTCTGTCAATAGAATAAGTGCATGTTGGGTGCTAGCTTAGTGTGCATACTCACAAATTTTAAAAAGTATTTAAAGCCACATACGATTCAAGACATGATGTTCTATTGAATAGTTACAGGTGAACAAGTGTAAACAGCTAATATCGACTTTGTTATCACAGCCCATAAAGTAGCTATTGTACTGTCTTGACTGCATGCTAGGTCAGTGGAATTCGGTGTAAATTGAATGTGAAGTGATATAAGTACTATATAAAATAATTACCAAGAAGCAAAAATCTCAAGTTTTTCCGCTTCTAACTGTTTCACATTTTATTAAGGTATTTCACTTACCTGCTTAGACCTGATTACAGTTGTACTTAGTTTGCTCTACAACTCTGCATTTCTTCTGCCCACCCTCTTCCACGCCCTGCCTTTGATTTTTAGAGATTTGTTTTGGTCATCATATTGTTGCCTGTTTTCCCAGTTTGTTGAACATGGTAAAGGTTCTCATACCGCTGTAAAGGAAATTACTTGATCTATTCAGTGAGTTGACATTATGTTTTAGTTTATGTCACAGTTTTATCACTCTTATTTTTACTTAATGTTATCTTCTTTCACTGGTCTTAGTTGTTCTGAAAGGATACAATTTTATAATTTTTTTTGGGTGGAGGAGGGTGGTTGGAGAATATTCTGAGGGCTAAGTAGTTAACGTGGCAGCCTGGTACCATTTAAGTGTATGGGCTTGCGTCCTGGAATTTCTTCCAGATTTTATATTCATTTTGTCGAAGTGATGTAAACAGGGTTCCATAATTATGTCCATGTGAGAGAACAAAACCTCAGAGACAGATGTACACTGTGCAAAATGGAGCATGCAGCTGAATGTAACGAAGCATGCCATCTTCTGAGATATAGCATAGAGGGCTAGATGTTGGCCAGCTCACACTGTGTACTGCCATACTGCACATTATTATGAAATCAACTTTTCCTTAGCTTTGTTTTCATTTGTAAGGTAATATAATTTTTTGGTTTATTATCTTCACAGATTCTACCTTATAGCAACAGTTTACTATGAGATGTGTTACATAGGTTTCTGAACAGTTTTGGAATTTTGGAAGTAATAAAATATTTTTTTTTCTTGATTCCCTATTTTACATCTTAAGAATATGTGTGACTCCACAATTCATTGATCTCAGACTGCAGTATTATTTCCAGTTGGGATGTTGAAATGCTCAATGTTTCACCTGGAGAGCAGCTGTAGGGCTAATGAGAGTTGCAAGAACGTGCTGTGTATTTCTCATAGGTAGGTAGAGGACACCATTGAACACCACATCTTCTTGTCTTTTACCTTGTTGATTTTGCACTGACCACTACCAAAGCTTTGTATGCAACAAAGGTAAAGTGTGAGGTGTTGTTTGCATCACCTACCATCCCAACAGTCTGCTTTAGCAGGCTGTTCTCACCCCATTGCCATTATATAATTGTTGCTATGGTGAATTTGGAAAATGTTGGCTATTAATTTGATGCTGAATGAGGCACGCTCTCATCTCATTGAATGGAGATTTATCCACATAACTCCCAATAATGTGGAGGTATAGACTTGTTTCTCACACAGGAAGCTCTGTAGTTTGCAACAGCCTTTGAAATAGCTGTTGAGAGATCCTGTGTCACTGTCATGCCAACCAAATGGAAGGGTTTTTACTTAATGAGGAGAATAATTCAGAGACCTGCCTCTCTCCTGGAAAAGGAGTGAAAAACAGCTCATTCTCTGTTCATTAGGGTTTCATAAAATTACTAATGAGAAATGAACTAAAATTACAAATTAAGCAGGTAAGTGGCTACAGTTTGGTTTCCATATGAGCTTACTCCTTTGCGATTTCTGTTGCCAAATCAGTAAAACACCTCCATTAGCCTTTTTTCCCCACTTCTTGTGTACCAGTGTGGCAAGTACTGAGAGTTTCATGTCAGTCATGTGCTAATGAGGGCAGCATGCAAGCAGTGAGCAAATGTGAGGACTCTTTCACAATTTATGAAGAAAAACACATGTGCTCCTCCATTATGTAGAAGAGCAATTTAGTTATTTCTGTGTCTCTGTCCTTCACTTACTACTGATCATAGGACTCTGGGTATGTAGAGGAGGAGACAATCAGACAGATGGAGGAGTATGAGTGCTATGCCACTGCCTGAGAGAAAGAAATCATGAAGGCATGAAGTAGCCCAATATTATATTTTCTTTGAAGCCCTGCCTAAAAGGGGTAAAATATTACTAGGACTGTGGAGCCCAGTTGTAATAGAAAGGGTGTCTTTGGACTCTCTTGGGAATCTAGGCTAGGTAGAAAGGACAGATTTTGTCCATGAAATTTTTGAAGTTTGTGTGATGGTGGAAACTGCATTCAGTAACTCTGTCTCAGAACTCAGACAAGGTCCTCTACTGGGTATCTTAGTGCATATCTCCATGGAGAGACAGTCAAAGCCAACTTCTCATTTTGCAAGAGAAGGGATGACCTATCCCGAAAGAGAGAGAGATATTATCTGTTGCTGTGGTTATAGTGTCTGTTATAAACTGCATATTTCAAATGAGAACAGTGATAAACTGTGTTTCATAATAATGACCCATAATATTTGAAAGGAAGCCACCAAGAAACAAAGAAGAAAAGATGGTGTGTGTCTGCACAAGTCAAGTGTGCAAAGAGTGAGTCTTAATTAACTCTGGCAACATGACTGTTGCACAAGTTAACAGGAGGTGTAAGGAGCATCTGCCTGCCTTGTTCTAACTGACACAATGGATATCTTACATTGCAAAAGAGATGGTGCAGATGCTTTAAGTTACAGAGCAGATGTCACCCTTCAGGAAAAGGGAAACTTCAGACATGGCTTTTTTTATAATTGAAAAGCATTGTCAGCTTGGCAGCTTCTTGTATGTTTAAATGACAGATATTCATACTAGTTGAAAATGAACCCTGCTCAGCAGACATTGGCAATGTTTTGTTATTTCCCCATTTCTCATTTCTAAAAGGCTAGTAGATCATTTCTGTTCATTAGACTTGATAGGAATTAAGCATGGAAAATCAATTTCCTCAGCCTCTTTTCATCTTGGGGCTGTCCCAGGTATTCTGCCTTGAAACTTCTTAGTCAGCCATGGTATGTGAACGTGCTACTGAAAGGTGAAAGTAAAAAATCAAATTTTACACAAGGAATGCAAACATCATCTTTTGCCCATTTCCCTTTTTCTCTTGCTAACATCTTACTCTTTTTAGTTGTACCTGTCCAGCATTTGGGATTATTCACAGAAATCTAGGCAAAATGAATGTTAGAGTAGCCCTGAAAACATAAGATATTCAAACTGTGCTTCTCTAGGAATATGCACAGTTGAAATCAATTGTCTTTCAAGGACAAATAAGCTGAAATATTTCCTTTTTTTTTTTTTTTTTTTGGCATCACCAAGCAAAGACATACTTTCTCGCACTGTATCTCTGCATTTACTTACCTATCACATCATCAAGTAGATTGCTTTTCCCATTATGCATGGTTTTATGAATAATGCTTTAGAGCTACAGTCTGCTCAAAAAGGAATCAGTGCAAAGCATTATCTTGCTAGTAAGTATGAAATACACCTTTATGCCAGTGTGAGAATTTGTTTCAGTTTTGAGTCCCATGCTGTCTCAAGAGGCAGGGTCCTACAGCATGGCTCTCTGGTGAATGATGCTGCATGGAAATGCAAAACGAGACAAAATGTTTTTGTCAGATGAAGTTGAATTGTTGTGAGTTTCAATTAACAGCATTTTTTCTCTGTCCTGGAATGTGTAGATCTGAATTTCATTGAGATGAATTTGAATTTTTACAGCACTTGAAAAGCTGAATTTTATCACCTGCTGTCTAAACATTTAGGTTAAAAAAATACTGATTTACTGTCTATGTTGTTGCTTATCAGCAAACAGTATAGCAAAGGGATGAGGTGGGTCTCAATTACTTCAGGATCATTGTGTAAATTTAGTAAAAAGCATTGCAATGTTAATAGTATCATTTTAGGGTGTAATTTAATTACATTAATGATATTTAAAGCCTTTACTCCAAATTCCAAAGACTCTAAAGCCAGAACACTGTCTTCTTGCATGCCTATGTGTGTCCAGAAGATATCAAACTTGCAAATATTGATGACATAATCTTAACAAAGGATTTACTAAGGTGTCTTTTTTTCAGGGCTCCTCCTCCTTGGATTCTAGAGAAAGATGCCTTTTTCCCCCTGCTATTTAGCAAGTTTTGGACTAAATTGCACAAGACGTTGTACCCATGTTCTATTCTAATAAATTACATGAAATATGAAGAAATTGTAGATAGAAAAATGTATTTTATTTTGGTTTTGAGAAAACAGTTGCAGTGAAAAATGTGTGCCCTATGGAAAGGTAGTTTTAAAACCTAGACAGTGCTTGTCTCTAGCATCTGGCTGCATTGAAGGGGTCATGCTGTTGTCTAAAGGTCTAGCTGCATCATTACCAACAAATGGAAGACTGGAACTGGATGTAGGTAAGTGCAGGTGAAGTCCTTGAAGGGCAGGCCCCAAAAGAAGACAGCCTAAGAATCATCAAGTCTGGAAGATAAGGCATTAGGTTTGCATTTCACGAGGTTCTTTCTAGAAAACAATTTTCATAATAAAGTTGGCATCAGGAAAGGTATTTTTTTGTCTCACTGTGTTGCTGAGGACAGGAAGAGGACAGCAATATTGCTACAAGTTATGGAAATATGAATGTGTGTATTGCCAACTTCAAGCTTCAAAAAGCACAAGCCAAGCATCATAAAATCCTGACACTACTTCAAGTATTTTTAAAAAATTCACACATGTTCTGTTCTTAACACTTCCTTTCTAATGAAAGTTTTCACTTGACTGTGAAATCTGGGGCTTTAGGAAAGATGGAAAGATACCAGGACAAATTACAAGTATTCTGTTGGGAACTGGTAGTGTTGTCTGTAATAACACAGCAGTGACTGCAGCTAAACAAGTTATCTTGCTCAGTTACCTAGTAAGTTAGGTTAGTTTTCCTTTATTTTGGTTTTAACTATTCAGTTAGGTCAGAAGCTAAGATAAGGGAAGGTACTATTGCAGAACTCTTAATTCTGAAGCATTTCTGAAAAATCTGAAAACTGTGTAGTATTACAAGGCAAAAATGCAGAAAGAGAAAGGATTAGGAATAGAAATCCTATTTCCAGCAACTGGAAGAGAAAAGCGCATTTTGTCTGGAAAAAGTGTCTGAGATAACACTGGTTTGATTTTTGACATATAGAAATCACAGACTCTGCTTGGCACCAATCCTGAATTTCCACCTGCAGAACTCAATCAAAGGACTCTGCAAAGCGCAGTAACTGTTTAATTTCTAAGTCTTATTGAACAATGTTGAGATTGCTTTGAACTCCAGCCTTTGGAAACATTTGTGACAGAAAGAGTGACAAAAAAAAAAAAAAAAAATCTTAGTATATGAAAGTATCCTGCTGCTTACCCAGTTTTGCAGGAGTTTTTGTTAAAACCTAGGCAGATTATTTGGAAGAACATTGGCTAAAGATGTTGCTTTGTGTATATATTTGTTTGCTTTAACTAATTTGGTGTCATAGTTTCCTTGAGTAATAATTGTTAATAGGTACAATCCCAGTTTTCTGAGATACAGTGGCAAGAAAAGCATTTCCTAGACAAAAACCCTTGCAGTCCAAAGACTGGTATTCAGGCATTCCTAGATGAAATATAAACTTTCACTGGGGAACTTACGTGTTACCTTTGTTTATCATACATATTATCTGTTTTTATAAATAGTGTACAGGAATTCAAAAGGATTCTTCAGCTGTAATAAATTTTATACTTGTGACAAGTTGTATGTAGCCATTAGACTAAAACAACTTTTTGAAAACTGTAATATGGTCAGGATAGTGGAGAGAAGGTAAAATCCTGTTTTCAGAAAGGTTCATAGGAGTTTTACTTTTGGCTGTAGAAAAATCAAGATTTTTCTCAAGACTTTCTGAAAAATCTCAATATCACTTCTGTATCCACCCACATCCAATTAGTTCATAATTGTTAAAAATGTGTCACAGAATCACAGAATCTTTAAGTTTGGAAAAGACCTCTGAGGTCATCAAGCCCAGCCTTTGGCTGAATGCCATCTTGTCAGGTAAACTATAGGACTAAGTGCAACATCCAGTTCTTTCTTGAGCACTTCCAGGTATGGTGACTCCACCAGTTCCCTGGGCACTCCATTCAGATGCTTAACCACCCTTTGAGTGAAGAAATTCTTCCTGACGTCCAACTTAAACATGCACTGGCGCAGCTTGAGGTCATTCCTCTTGTCCTGTCACTAGTTTCCTGGAAGAAGAAGCTAAACCTCATCTTACTCCAAACACCTTTCAGGTAGTTGTAGAGAGTGATAAGGTCTCTCCTGAGCCTCCTTTTCTCCAGGCTAAACAGCCCCAGCTCCCTCAACTGCTTCTCATCAGCCTTGTGCTCCAGACCCTTCACCAGCTCTGTTGCCCTTCTCTGGACATGCTCCAGCACCTCAATGTCCTTCTTATAGTGAGAGGCCCAAAACCGAACACAGGATTCAAAGTGCAGCCTCACTAATACCGAATACAGGGGGATGATCACTGCCCTGTGCAGGCCACACTATTTTTGATACAAGCCAGGATGCCATTGGCATTCTTGGCCACCTGAGATCACGTTCAGCTGGCTGTGGACCAGCACCCCCAGGTCGTTTTCTGCCAGGCAACTTTCCAGCCACTCTTCCCCAAGCCTGTAGCACTGCATGAGGTGGTTGTAACCCCAGTGTGGGACCTGACTCTTCAAGTTATTGAATCTCATACCCATCGATCCAGTATGTTCTGATTCCTCTGCAGAGCCTTACTACCCTCCAGCAGGTCAACACTCCCACCCAACTCAGTGTCATCTGTGAAATGACTTGAGGATGGACTCGATCCCCTCATCCAGACCATTGATAAAGATATTAAACAGGACTGGCCCCAGTACTGAGCCCTGGAGAATCCCACTAGTGAGCAGGCACCAGATGGATGTAACTCCATTCATTACTACTCTCTGGTCCCAGCTATCCAGCCAGTTTTTAACCCAGCAGAGTACACTTGTCTAAGCCATGGGCTGCCAGCTTCTCCAGTGGAATGCTGTGGGAAACTGTGTCAAAGGTTTTACTAAAGTTCAGGTAGACTTCATCCACTATGTGTGTCAGCTGGTCATAAAAGGAGATCAGGTTGGCCAAACAGGACCTTCCTTCCAAAACCCGTGTTGGCTGAACCCGATATCCTTGTTGTCCTATATGTGCCCTCTGATCACAGCCAAGATGACCTGTTCCATAACCTTTCCTGGCACCAAGATCAGGCTGACAGACCTGGATCCTCCTTCCAACCGTTCCTGTATATGGGTGTCACATCTACCAAGCTGCAGTCATCCTGTTTAACCAGGACTGATGACAAATGATGGAGACTGGCTTGACAAGCTCTTTCGCCAGCTCCATCAGTACCCTTGGGTGAATCCCATCCACTCCCAGAGACTTGTGAGTGTCTAAGTGGCTCATCAGGACACTAAATACTTACTCATGGATTATAGTGTGTCTCTTCTGCTCCCTGTCCCTGTGTACCAGCTCGGGAGGCTGGTTGCCCTGAGGATAACTGGTCTTTCGGCTGAAGACTGAGAAGGCATTATGTACCTCAGCCTTTTCCTCATCCTCGGTGACAATTTTCTCCCCCAGGTCCAACAAAGGATGGAGATTTTCCCTGACCCTCCTTTTGTTGTTAATGTATTTATAAAAACATTTTTTATTATCTTTTACAGCAGTGCTCAGATTGAGTTCTAGCTGAGCTTTCACCTTTCTAATTTCCTCTCTGCATGACCTAACAACCTCCTTGTACTCTTCCTGAGCAGGCTGCCCCTTTTTCCAAAGTTCATAAATTCTCTTTTTTAGCCTAAGTTCCAGTGAAAGCTCTGTGTTCAGCCATGTCTGTCTTTTTCCACACAGGTCCGTCTTTTGGCACACAGGGACAGCTTCCTCCTACCTCTAAGACTTTCTTCTTAATGTATGTCCAGCCTTCCTGGACGCCTTTGTTTTTAAGGACTGTTTCTCAAGGGACTCTCTGAACCGGTGTCCTGAATAGGCCAAAATCTATCCTCTGGAAGTTGAAGGTAGAGGTTTTTTGATTCTCTTCTTCACTTCACTAAGAATCAAAACCTCATTATTTCATCTTCTCTGTGCCCAGGATGGCCTCTGACCACCACATCTCTGACCAGCCCTTCTCTGTTTGTAAACAGCAGGTCTAGTGGGCCACCCCCTGGTGGGCTCGCTCACCAGCTATGTTGGGAAGTTATCTTTCACATGCTCCAGGAACCTCCTAGACTGCCTGCTCTCCACTGTGTTGAGTTTCCAGCAGACATCTGACAAGTTAAAGTCTCCCACAAGAGCAAGGGCTAGCAATAATGAAACATCAACCAGACGCTTACATATGTACTTCATCTGCCTCTTCATCCTGGTTAGGTGGTCTGTAACAGACACACACCAGGATGTTGCCTTGTGGCCTTCCCCCTGATCCTTATCCATAGGCACTCAACCTTATCATCACTATCCTTGATCTTTGTACAGTTGAAACACTCCCTAATGTACAGAGCCACCCCACCACCTCCTCTTCCTTGCTTGTCTTTCTGAAGAACTTATAGCCATCCCTTGCAGCATCCAGTCATGCGAATCATCCCACCATGTTTCTGGGATTATGTCATAACTTTCATGCTGCATCATGGCTTCCAGCTCCTCCTCTTTGTTACCCATACTGCATGCACTGGTATAGAGTTGTGTCATTTGCCTTTTTTCTGATTTTTGCAGAGAAATAATTTGTAGCTCAAAATATGGAATTTGGGAAAGGTAGGTTTGGCACAGTCATGTGAATCATGTGACTAATTGCAAGTTATCCTGCAGATTGAAGTTTAACTGGAGACTCCTACAGAGCTCATATAGAGAAGGATAAGGCCTGTATTTTCCAGTACTTAATGATGCTATTAAACTTGCCTTTCAAAGGTAGCTGCACAAGGAATTTACATGTGGTTTTATGGCCTGTAGGTGCTGTTATTTCATATGTCTATATCCTCTTGTTACCCTATATAGCCTGTAGATAGACACAAGACCCATTATTATGGCCTTCAACAGCAGCCTGGGCTGGGACTGTATTGTAATAGAGTTTAACACCTTAAGAGCCAGAGAAAGGTAAGCAGGAGAATAAAGACCCAGAACTTCATAAGAACAGATTTCAACTTGACTTATGGAGAGGTTAAGAAGGATCCTAGAACTGT